ATAAAACCTTGTAGAAATATAGAATGAGAATAATGGTAACTAAGTCAGAAAGAAGTAGATGAAATAATAATAATAAAATTGAATAAGAGTGAAGAGAAATAAAGGGAAATTGGATAAGAGGTTTTTGTATGTTTATATGGAAATGGTTTAAAACAGAATTATAGTTTATCTGACTTGTTAAATTTATAATGGAAAAAGGTTTAAACATGTAATGGATAATGATGACTTGTGTGTTTTGAAAATCAATAAAACTTGTTTTAAAAAATAAAAATAAAAAAATACTGATCAGGTTTGCACACCAAGCTAAGCCATGGGGATTTGTTACTGATTTGGTTTTGAACTCATGTTTCATGCAAACTCGACCCATGTAGACTTACAGGCAAGGTCTAATGGCTTAGTCAACATGGAGCTACAAAACTGTGACTTATCAAACCATAATTAAAACACGAAGTCATGGGGAGTGGGAAGTCAGTTATTGGATCAGAGAAGTTATAACTTCTGCGGCTTCTTATAGTCACATCTGTGCTTCTTCAACCTAGTATCAAGAACCCTGATAATTTCTAACTGGCAAAATTTTGTGATGATTAAGAACCATAGGAAGTGAAAGACGGTACATTCTGATTGGGGAAGGCAGCCTTAAAAGGTTCATTTGCCTCATGACTATAAGACTGTATCTCTAACATGGACATCTTAGATTACTCAACATCCTGATTATTAGAATCCATATTAGGTGGGTAGGACATGTCATCAGCATGGATGACCTCTGTATGCCCCAGCAGTTGTTGTCTAGTCTGGGAACAGACCTCAAGGTTGACTCTGCAAGCACTACTAAGACACTGAGGGAAAACACTGAAATATTTTGGGAAATATTAAAAAAGGCAGAATATTATATTACCCTAAAGGAGAAACATGCTCTTGGAAAGCAGCCCCCACCTTTCTTAATGGCCCCAGCTGTACTGGGCCAGCTTATCTACAAGACAAAAGATCTTCAGCTCCAGGGTGATGGGATTAAGACATAACCCTCTATGACATTATAGGATTAACCCCTAGCAGCAGAGCTCACTGCATTGCACAATCTCCTAAAGACATTGCATTAGCCAAGCTTCAACCAAACCTGGGAGCTCAGACAACCTCAGCTATGACCCCTGCGCAGCCCTATGGGAGTCTGGCAGCAGCCAATAGAATACATGTTCTTGCACAGGAACAGGAAGCTCAAGTTCAAAGCCCAAGAGAAGGTATAAAAGTCACCCACTCGCAACTCCATGGGGGCAGTTGCACCAGAACCATGTGCTTGGTGGTTCTGCTTCATCATTAAACCACCTTTCCAATTGTCCTCCATGTTTCCAGTGTCTTCCTCCTGGCTTGGAATTAAACCAGATGGGTATTTCACCATGACATCTAACCAAGGGAACTTCAAGCTTGCAATTGCTGACAGAACCCTCTGGCAAACTCTGTGTTATGATGCCTCCACCAGCTTTGAAGACAAGTGCCACCAAAACCATGAATGGCATCAGTGTCACAGACCAACATCCACAGTTATTACAAGAATAGACTTTCAACGGCCCTGTTGTGCTAGACTTTGGGCTTCAAGATGAGGACTGCAAGGTCACCTATGTATCCACACATGGACTGCAAATCAGTGTGTCTTCTAACCTAAAGGACTTCCACAATTACCATTTTTTAACCTTACATTAACTGGATTCACACATTGCAGGAGCCATGGTTTGCTTTAAACTATGTTTGCATAAGCCATTGTACTAAATCACAAATTGTGACCAAACCAAAACGATGGAAAACTTCCAACAATGAATCCATCCATTCATTGTGCACATTTGATCTTAAAACTATCCTTTTCTGATATAAATAATTTGCATACCTATCTTCCCTTCTTCCTGATTATCGTGATGATTTTTTAAAAATCTGTTCAAGAGCCAGGTTAGTGTGGAGAAGAGGATTTCCCCCCCAAAAGTTTTGGATAGCTAAAGCTCTGAAATATCATTTTGCCTTTCTTGGAAACAATAGATTATTATCATTTCTTTTTCCCAAGGTTAGTTTGTTTTTGGTATCGCGATCAGTTTGTGAAAAATCTGTCCCTGGGCAACAGGTGTTGTCTTCTCAAACTTCCTTCCTAGCTCCCATTTTTCCATACTGCTGGTGTTTATGAAAACCCCAGGGTGAAATGGCAAAAATAATATTAAGCCTGATACATTTTTACAGGGGTAGAATATATTCATTCAAGACAGAAAACACAATTGGATGGATTTTAAGTCTTTTTAATATGATGCTAAGTAAGAATAATAGTTCCTATATCTCACCATGGATTGTGCTCAAACAAGATGTCAAAATTATGCAAGCTTGTCACATGGCGAAGATGAGAATTTATAGCTCAAAGAAGACAGAGATTGTTACTTATATATTTGCAACCTAAAAACAACCTAACTAACATAGATGAGATCCAGGATAGAGCCTATGTTAAATTATAATATACTCATGTTATATTAAATGTTAACATCTGAAAATTACAGCAAAAATATCTAAAACTATTCAAATCAACCAAATAATATCTAAAATTTAAATAAGTTATAGCTACAAGAAAATGCATTGCAAGGTTCAACAAAATTTCATTATATTGTTTTCATTATTTCTTTTAGTGTTTGCATTTTTAGGGGATATTAAGATTCTTTAAAGGGAGGGGTGATAGGAAAAAATATATAGGAACCCCTGGTCTACATGAAGATGAGCCAATGTTGATGAATATATATATATATATGGCATTCAGCTTTGTTCGGGTATTTTCCCACGTCATAGTAGTTGTGCTTTTAAAGTTGTAGCGACGTTTCGGCAGAATCTCATCTGCCATCATCAGGCTTCTGTATAGGTGAATGCCATACATGTAAGTACCCGCGAAAACTTAAAAACACACACACACACACACATATATATATATGTGTGTGTGTGTGTGTGTGTGTGTTTGTGTGTGTGTGTGTGTGATGTGTATGTATATGTATATTTCATAAACATTTTAAATACTGTGTGTGTGTGTGTATGTGTGGTATTCAGCTTTGTTCGGGTATTTTCCCACGTCATTATAGTTGTGCTTTTAAAGTTGTAGCAACGTTTCGGCAGAATCTCATCTGCCATCATCAGGCTTCTGTATTGTGTTAGTCTGTGTGTCAGACTTCCACAGCCGTTTCAGTTTTAAATTTGGGGCTAGCCTACTGCTGTGCCAGAATGTTTTCTTCATCCTGATTGGTTGGGAGTCTTGGTCTGTGTTTATTGGTCTTGGAGTTTGCTGTGTTCTGCTTGATTGGTGTTTCTAATACCTTCTGTCTGTTTTGTGGCTTTTTTTGTCTTGATTGGCTGGCAACATTGTGTTCCTGTATTGGAGGCTTTTAGTGCAGCTTGGCTCTGAGTAAATGGATGGCTATCATTTATTAGGAAGCTAGGTTTCATCTGGGTGCCTGGTTGGGGTGTGTTTGAGCTGGAGGTATGTGGGGGGGATCTGTTTGTGCCCAGGTGTTTGCCTGGCTTGTGGTGTGGAGATTTTTTTGTTTGTGAGTGCAGGCTTCCAAATAATTGACAGTCTGGTGGAATCATCTCTTCTATTCACGCTTTCAGGTCTTTTTTCAATCTCTGTCGCTTCTCTGATAATTCTGTGGCTGGGGTTTTCTATAGTGGCTAGGGTTTTGGTGCCATTGAAGTTGATGCTATGACCTGTGGCTTTCATGTGCTGGACTAGTGAGGAAGTGTGTTCCAGCTTTTTGACTGCATTTTTGTGTTCATCCAGGCGGGTACTTATTCTTCTATTGGTCTGTCCAATGTATGTGGCAGGGCATGATGCACATGGGACTTCGTATATGCCTTGGTTTTCCAGGTCAATTTTATCTTTGGGGTTGCTAAGGATGGCTGCTATTTTTCTGTCTGTTTTGAAGGCAGTCTTGATGTGCTGCCTGTGTAGTATCTTACTGATTTTGTCTGTAGTACCTCTTATGTAGGGCAGGACAGCTGTTCCATAGGTCTCTTCATCTTCTAGGTCTCCATTATGTCTCAGTATGTTTTTGTGGATCAAGCCGGTGATTTTGCTTTTGTGGAAGCCGTTAGCTGTCAGTACTTTAGTCAGGGTGCATAGTTCAGTCTTTATGTGTGTCTTGTCTGCTAGGCGTTTGGTTCTGGCAAATAGTGTTTTGGCCACGGAGTTTATCTGTGTTGGGTAGTGGTGGGATTGGGCGTTGAGGTAGCGGTTGGTGTGTGTTTTCTTCTGGTATATGGTGTGTCCTAGTGTGCCATCTGTTTTTTTGTAGATTAGTGCAAACTCCAAGACCAATAAACACAGACTAAGACTCCCAACCAATCAGGATTAAGAAAAAACCATTCTGGCACAGCAGTAGGCTAGCCCCAAATTTAAAACTGAAACGGCTGTGAAAATCTGACCCACAGATGAACACTATACAGAAGCCTGATGATGGCAGATGAGACTCTGCCAAAACGTTGCTACAACTTTAAAAGCACAACTACAATGACGTGGGAAAATACCTGAACAAAGTTGAATACCATACATACATATACATATACCTATACATGTTTTTCTTCTTTTAATACTCTTTCTCATTGATCTTCTTAATACATGTTATATATCTGTCTGTAATTTGAATTATAAAATCATTGCATTATAAAAATCAAACACTGCATTCATAAAATCACCGGGGCTTTTTAACGTTGTTTTTTTTTTTTTAATATTCCCAAGCGATTCTTCCTCTCATTGGGAATAGGGGTAACGAGGGTTACCACACAACCCAACTCTTCGGGTTTTTCCGGAGACGCTTCGGGGCGGTCTGACGAAGTGTGTGGGCGTCTGTCAATGCCTAGGTGGGCGGGGCTAAAACCTGTCTGGATTTGCTCCCCGGTTGACGGCCTGGGCGGGCCAATCCCGAGAAGGCTGGGCCAGCCTCTCCCCCACGTGACCCAGTTCCAGCTGCTGCTCCCGTAACAGCCCCGCTGGCCGGAGGGGGGAGAACCAGCGAGCCAACGAACGTCAAAAGCTGCTCTGATAACTTTGTTTCTTCTGCCCGCCCACTTCACCTGCCTCGGCTGGCTGGAGAAGGCTGGTGCGGAGGCTCCAGGCGCCCCGTTAATGATCCTCTCGCCTCCCGATGGGGCACTGCATGGATTGAATCAAGGTGAGAGAGACCTTTTTTTTTTCTCCCCCTCCCTCTTCCCTTTTAATAAATATTTTTTTAAAAAAAAACCAATGCATTGCAATTAAAACCTAAGAAAGTTTCTATTTCTGATTTGCAGAGAAGGAAGATTTCCGTTCAGCAAAAAATAAATAAAAATAAATATATATATACATATTATAATGCATTGCAATTAAAAACGTAAAACATAAGAAAGTTTCTATTTCTGGCTTGCAGAGAATAAAGATTTCCATTCAGCAATAAAAAAAAATAAAAAGTTAAAAAAATATAATGCATTGCAATTAAAAAATGAGAAAGTTTCTATTTCTGGCTTGCAGGGGAAGGAAGATTTCCATTCCTGGAGGACAGAGGGGAAATAAAGGTGTTTGAGGGGGAGAAGAGGATTTGGTTCATAAAAGGGCTCCCTTCCCTTCCCTTCTTTTCCTTGTTTGTTCTAACTTTCCCTGCGTCTCCCACCCCCCACCCCCCACCCCCCACCCCGCCTTTCCCTTTTGCAAATCCTGGGATCCTGGCTTTTCAAAGCGACGATCGAGTCTCGCAGGGGATTTGCACGCAGATCTCTCTCCTTCTCTCTCGTTTTCTCCCTCTCTCTTTCTCTCTCTCACTTTCTTTCTCCATTTCTCTGTCTCTTTTTCTCTCTTTCTCCCTCTCTCTCTCTCTCTCTCTCTCTCCCTTTCTCTCTCACTCTTTTTCTGTGTGGGCTAGATGGAGGGTTTGGAAGTCAGGGCAAGGAACGAGTGTGTGTGTGTTGTGTTGTGTGTGTTTTGTGTGTGTGTGTGTGTGCTTCTGGGTTTCTCATTGTTATGCATGCAAGGCGGGTGTGACGTGGGTTGGTGTTTGCTTGGCTGCATCCAGCTTGAATGGCAAGAGGAACGTGCCCGGGATTTGTTGACAAGATTTTGTTCAAAATGTTTCTTCTTTCTTAACTTTCTTTTTTAAAATTGTTACTTTGATTGGTTTTTTTTTAAAGTCGCGTTTTCGGAGTTGCGAGTCATTCGCTCTCTCTCTGGGGACGCGATCCACTCCTTTTTTGCATTCTTAGGGTGCACGCGCAACAATATGTGCTACAAATTCGAATTTTTAAAAAACAAAATGTCGATGGAGGAGATTCTCAGTCACCCATGTCATGGTTGTCCCAAACGGTGCTTTTTCCCAAAATTAATTGGACTTTCTTGGGTCCCCCCTGCCCCCACTTTGAAGATGTTTCACTTCTCATCCAAGAAGCTTCTTCGGTTCATTCAGCTTTTCATTTTTAAGAAGAAGCAAAAAAAAAACATCCACCTGCTTAAATTTCTTTAAATTTAAAAAAAAAGAGGAAGATCTTTTCTCTCATGAAGAAATTGCTTTATGCCATAAGTCAGGGGTCTCCAACCTTGACAACTTTAAGCCTTGGCGGACTTCAACTCCCAGAACTGGGGAATTCTGGGAGTTGAAGTCCGCCAAGGCTTAAAGTTGCCAAGGTTGGAGACCCCTGCCATAAGTGGTTGCTGTTAGATTGGGATGTGGCAATAAATTCCCCTTCTTGGTGTAATGGACGTGTAGGATTCACTGAGGAGTAAGCTGATGGACGTTGTGTAAACGTTCACAGTTGTGTAGCAAGGGTGCAAGCACTTCTTTCAATGCAAAATTAATGCCAGAGAAGATGTTAGGTTGAATTATATTTCTTAAATTGCTTTGTTTATTGTGTATAAGCTCTGAAAAAGTAGAGCCATTCTGCTGAATCAGGGTAGAGAGAGTGCAGAGAAAGAAGAAGGAAAAAACAGGACGGTATTTTCCAATTATGAAGCTGGAGATATTTCAAGTCTTCATTTCATTGGAGACCAACTCTGGAGGTTACATTCCCTAAAATGGGTGATGGAGGTTGTTCTGGTGCAGCCAAAAAACAAAAAGGACTCAAAGCACAAATAAAACATAAAAATACTTTAAATTGCACTGCAAGTGCTAGCAAGAGTTAATACAGTGATGATATCGTTTCCCTCTGTCTTTCCAAGTACAGTGGAACCTCGGGTGGCGAACGCTCCTGTTTGCAACCAAATCGAGTGGTGAACAAAAAATCCAACCAATTTTTAAACCGGGTCACGATTCAAAAATCGGGTGGTGAACAAAATTGGCGCGGAAAGATTCCCTTTCCTTGCCTATTTCCCATTTTTTTTTAATGCGCGCATACTCAGTCGGTCATGCTTCCGGACACGACCAAATCTGGTCTTGATCAGAGTCCAGGAACGGATTACGGTCGCAACCCGAGGCTCCACTGTATCATAAATTATGGGGGGTTTCAAAGGCTCTGAGGATTGTTCCCAACCACGCTGTGTGCATATTCTAAATTATGCAGTGCTGATACAGGTAGTCCTTGAGTTACAACAATTCGCTTAGTGACTGCTCAAAGTTAACGCTGAAAAAAATGGTAACTTATGACCACTTTTCACACTTATGACCATTGTGGTATCCCCATAGTCACGTGATTTACGTTTGGATGCTTGACAACTGATTCACATTTACAATGGTTGCAGTGTCCGGGGTGTGTGTGTGTGTCAAGTGAGCCCCTTTTGCAACCTTCTGACCAGCCAGATTAATGGGGAAGCCAGATTCACTTAACAATGGTGTTGTTTTAGAAGGCAATAGAATCACAGAGGAGACCCTGGAGGTCTTCTAGTCCAACCCTGTGCTTAGGCAGGAAACCCTATACCAGGGGTCTTCAAACGTGACAGCTTTAAGACTTGTGGACTTCAACTCCCAGAATTCTTCCTCCTCCAGTCATGTTAGCTCAGGAATTCTGGGAGTTGAAGTCCACAAGTCTTAAACTGGCCAAGTTTGAAGACCCTTGCCCTATACCAGGGGTCTCCAACCTTGGCAACTTTAAGACTTGTGGACGTCAACTCCCAGAATTCCTCAA